CTTGGTCTACCCTCTCAATCCCATGAAAACCCTACATCAAGCCAAAATCCAAACACAAGCCATAACCCTACCTCAAGCCTTAACCCTACCACAAGCCAAAATCCTACCACATGTCTTAACCCAAATGCAAGCCAAAGTCTCTTAAATCCTTTTTCCCAAATTGCCGAATTGGAAACAATGTTGAATGAGGAGATTCATCAAGTTGAAGGATTAGACTGTGTATTAGTGAATGAATACCGTAGAGTCCTAAGTTGGAGAAAATGGAGACTTGGTCCTTATGATGAGTTGATGAATAAGGGACCAAGTATGCATGAAGAAGAATTGTTTTCACTAAATTGGATTGGCAATTTTGATGTTTGCCATGCAACCTTGTTGTCTACGGTAAATGGAGCATTTGTGAACAAATTGAAAGCCAAATTGGCCGAAGGTACTGTTGACTGCACTGTTCAAGGTGATTTGCCTACTGAAGAAGATTTCTTAGTTGATATGGCCGAATTTGTGACAAGGGATGTTGAAGAAAATGTCACGTATGGTGTACACTTGATGGATAGTGGCTTATATGATGTGAGTGTGTTAAATCTCACTGAAATAAGTCAAGACCAAAATGCCATGCAAGCTAGTCAACATACGGAGGAAATTCAATCTATTAATGCAGAAAGTGCCCATGGTGACACTCACGTGTTACTTACTCCGGAAAGGGAAGGAAATATAGTGGAAAATCAAGCTCAATCTCACATGCTTGAAGCCGATTTTGCTCAAGAAGGAGCAAGGTGTTTTCCCTCATCCCGAGAAGAGCAAGAACTTGATGGCACACCTACAAATGAGAAGTTAGAAAATCTGGAGAAAGTTGTCTTAAGCCTTGTTGACCGAATGGAGAACATGTTTCAAGGGATCTACACTCATGTGGATCAAGTTGTCAATATTCAAGGTGGAAAATTCGAAGCATCTTTTGATGAAAATCGGAGAAGTCAACAACATTTGATTGATACCCACCAAGCACTTGAAAGACAAGTTGGAAGTTTGAATAACAATGTCAAAGGGCAACTCAATGAGTTCTATATTCAACTTTCACAAATCCTCAAGAATTCTGGAAAGGCAAATGAAGCAATTGTCGTGAACCAAAGCCAAGGTATTCTTAATGTTGTTCATCAACATGAAAAGCAGATTAGTGATGTCCACACGGATCTCATCTCAGTTAACACCAAAGTGGGCTGCCTTCGGGGATCATATGAGAATATTTCCGAATCCATTTCATCTCTTCGTGAATCGGTTCATACACTTCTTGATTACGCCAAAAAGGGGGAAGAGAGATTCAGTCATTTGGAGAGCATGATTGAGATGATGATGACTGCCATGGCTAGCAGAAATGTTGGCACAAGCAGTAGTAGAGGTGGAGGAGGCAGATCTGCTGGAAGAAATGCACCAAGAAAAGGAGGATTGGAGTATTGGTTCGGTGGTGGTGAAGCTGGCAGTCCAGGAGGATCAAGCAGTGCAAATACCACTAACCGTTCTTTTCGTGATATTGTGTGTGCAGGGGGAAACATTGAGCAAATAAATTGGTACAACCGTGCAGCTCTTTATTTGGAATCCACACCGAGAGATGGTAGAGTTGAAATGCCAAAGTTGGTGACTTTGAATGATCTACCAAAAGGAATGAAGAAAAGTGGTCCTAGTGATCAAAACATGTGGGTTTCAAGTGAAAATTTCAGAAGAATTCAAAGCTATGCTAGAGCCTTGATGATTATGGTTCTAAGGGACTACATCAAAGTCAATGATGCCGAGCTACAAGATGGAAAATGCCTAGAAGAGTGCATCATATGGTATGAGGAAGGTATACTGCCCGGGAGCAACATCACTGAAGCTTTCAACTACTATTCAGTTGGACAGGTATGTAACAACTTTGCCATTAGTGACAATTTCGTTGATGTTCAGAACCATATTAACAATGTGCTCAAGGAAAGAGAAACAAAGTGATTAGATGATTTGTATGATTGGTACAATTTTTTTTGTGGTCCACGGGTACATGAACCCATGAATATTTTGGAACAATTTGAAATGATTCGAATTATCTGTTTATGATGCTATTAAGATGTTTCTTAATTTTATTATTTGTCTTGAAAGGTTATATTTTTAGCTTAGAGTGTATCAAATCGCATGAATTGGAAAAATACAAAAATTCATTATCATTAAAATTCCAAAAATGCGAAATAGGAATATAGTGGCTAAAAATACCTTTCCTAGAGTCAAAATCATTTGTTAAACTCATCTTGGCTATGTCAATGAAAATAAAATCTTTTGAAAAATAATTGTTTTTAAAAGACAAGCCAAATGACTGAGTATAGGTTTTGGCGTCATCAAAAAGGGGGAAAATTGATAGGAATATTTTTGTAAGTTTTGATGAGCCAAATGTATCTTTAGATCCCCTTGGTCTTTAGTACAAGCATCATAAATCAGAATATTGAAATCAGAAGGAATCTACCATAGGAAGAACAAAATTAATTTGAGAAATTAATTTTGGTCCTACGAGCATTCATCCGTGAAAGAAGCATAAAGCAATGGCGTTGCAAGGAATGACTGGATGAGCCTAACGGCGAAATAGTAGAGGTCCTTACTCTAAACGATCACACCCGAGATCGATTCCCCCCAAGGACCTATATTTTTAATAAGGCAGATTTTTGAAGGAGCACAATGTATGCTAAAAGAGCACAATGTATGTTAAAGAAGCACAATGCAGCTAAGGAGCACGATGCTCACCAAAGGAGCACAATGTGACCAAATCTGAAAGGAGCACAATGTGTCCGAAGGAGCACGATGCTCACCAAAGGAGCACAATGTGACCAAATCTGAAAAGAGCAAAATGCAGCTAAGGAGCACAATGTGTCCGAAGGAGCACCTCGGACACAATGTGTCCGAACGAGCACGATGCTCACCAAAGGAGCACAAAGAGCACAATGCAGCTAAGGAGCACAATGTGTCCGAAGGAGCACGATGCTCACCAAAGGAGCACAATGTGACCAAATCTGAAAAGAGCAAAATGCAGCTAAGGAGCACAATGTGTCCGAAGGAGCACCTCGGACACAATGTGTCCGAACGAGCACGATGCTCACCAAAGGAGCACAATGTGACCAAATCTGAAAAGAGCACAATGTGTCCGAAGGAGCACAATGTGTCCGAAGGAGCACAATGTGTCCGAAGGAGCACAATGCTGTCTAAAAAGCACAATGTTGTCAGAAGAGCACAATGCATCAAAAGAAGCACAATGTTCAAAGTCAAGGAGCACGATGTTCAAGTCAAAGGAGCACAATGTGGCAAAAGAGCAAGATGATCAGAAATTGGATAAATTCGAAGGAATTTACTCCAAGTCCACCCACATGCCACAAGACTCCAAAATTGCCTGAAAGACATTTGATCAGAACGGAAAATTATTTATGAAGGCTTGAATATAAAAACTTATCCTAGAAATAAATTCTATCAGATGAATTTATTTCAAAGATTCGTTGGATATTCAAATTGACAATTAAAGTAATATTTTTAAAAACAACTAGAAAATCAAAGTTGTGCTAAAAATAATTACTTTGTCAGACAAGTTGACAAATCAAATCAAAATTGAAGATCTACTACTGTCAACAATATCAGGCTATGAAGATTCAAAATTCAAATATCAAATTATCCCACTCCAACGGATATATTTGATTGACTATAAAAAGTCATGAAGACTTGAAGACAAAGGGAGTGCAGAGAGCTTGAGAAGAACAGAGAAAAACGAGATAGAATACAAGTGCAAAATTCAAAAGTGCTAGTGCTCAAAATATTCAAAGAGACTTAGTCTGAATAGTCTCAAAATCTAGTTGGAGAGAGAAATACAAATCCTTGTATTTGTAAATTGTAGAAAGAGTATAGCTGTGTGCAAAACACTCGTAGTTGCTAAGTGTAGCTGTGTGCAAGACACTTAGTTGGCGTTGAGTATAGCTGTGTGCGAAATACTCGGAGTTGAGTGTAGCTGTGTGCGAGACACTCGGAGTAGGGTGTAGCTGTGTGCAAGACATCCGGAGGAAGTGCCTGTGTAGCACTTGTTCACTATTGTAACTGTGTGTGGAAAATAGTGAATTTCTCCTAGACGTGAAAGGAGAAAAGTGGACTAGGAAGATTACGCCACTTCCGAACCACTATAAATTGCCTCTCTCATTTACATACCGCACTTACTTTATTTGCTATATCTATCTATCTCATCCGACTAACCCGTTTACTATTCACAGTTAATCTTAATCATCCGGGTTTAGTGTGTTCTCACGTATGCATGTGACTCAAACTTCTCGAGCTTAAATAGTGATTTATTCTAAGCAAGTTTGACGTGTTGCATGTAACATTCGTCACACGTTCGACGTGATACGATATTTATTTACAATCTTGAATATTGTCATTATATATTGAGTGAACCATCTCCTCTACATATTCAAGATATCTCTGTCACTTTACATATCATTTGTACCTAACTTATCTCATACATGCACACTTAATTTACTAGTTGGGCATAACTCTTTACTATTATTCCGCTGTGCAGTACAAACTTGCTCTATTTACTTGTTACTTAGAGTTGAAGTTACCAAAGAGTTATTTAATTTGAAAAAGCTTGAAAGTCTATTCACCCCCCCCCCCCCTCTAGACTTTCACCACCCTATCGGGACCAACAATGGCCATGTACTTCTTACTTCCCCTCGACTCCCGCATTGTATGGAGGACTTCTTGATAGATGATCACATTATCAGATATATGTCTCCCGGAACGAAAGAGCTTTGAAACGGCCCTACCATTCGAGGAAGGATACTCTTTAACCTGTTGGTGATGGTTTTGGTAAGGATATTATAACTCACGTTACAAAGACTTATAGGTCGGAACTGCTTGATGGTATCTGGAATCTGCACTTTAGGAATGAGGGCAAAGAGAGTGTCGTTAATGCCGTCTGGTATCCGCCCTGTCCTAAAAGCCTCATTAACCATCTCCTAAATGCTGTCCCCAGTCACTTCCCACGTGTGTTGGTAGAACCATGCGGGAAGACCATCTGGACCTGGGGCTTTAGAAGGCTTCATGTCACAAACAGCCCCGTAGACTTCATCTTTAGTCACTTGCCGGTTGAAGAGAGTCCAATCGATACGTCTAAGCCGTGGAAAACGTGCTTCTAGAATCTGGGCGTCGGTCACCTCCCTGCATTCAGTAAACAAGTTAATATAAAATTTTTGAATGTGGTCCCTGAGTTTGGCGTCATCGGTGATCCAAGCGCCATTATTATCCAGAAGCCTGGCTACCCTGTTACGGGCTCTTCGAACAGTAGCAGCAGCATGATAGTATGCCGTGTTCCTGTCTCCCGACGTGATCCAATCCTCTCTGGACTGCTGGAACCACAGCAGTTCCTCCTGATACAGGATCTCTTCCAGCTCTAGGCGCAGCTTCTGCTCCAATTTAAATAGGCCTCTATGCATGTTCTCGGCCAGGCCAGGAATTTTGGATGCCGCTTAAGCGTGACCTGATGACCTTCTTTCGTTTGTGTACGTTCCCGAAAACCTCCCTGTTCCATGTGGATAGACCTGCTGCTACCTGCTGCACATTTGCCAAGAGGTTCTGGTCCGCACACCATAGGCGTTGGACCGTTTTAGATAAATCGTCGTGGGCGAGCCAAGCAGCCTGAAACATAAAATGATTGCTATGAGTATGTTTTTTGCCCCCGAGTATTCGTACCAAGAGTGGTGCATGATCAGAGGCAATTCGGGGCAAGTGCTCGACAGTCGCTTCCGGGAACCGGATGCGCCATTCCAGGTTACAGAGTGCCCTATCGAGGCGGGCCCATTTAATAGCATCAGTTGACCCATCTTTCACCCACGTAAGCTTAGGCCCCGAGAAACCAAGGTCAATTAGTCCTTCGTCTTGAATCCATGTGACGAAGTCCGAACTTCGTTGGGCAGAATACGAGCTATAGTTACTTGTTTCTGCCTTTGAGGTGACAGAGTTGAAATCGGCAGCCACAAGCCACGGGCCATTTTGCCCCCGCTTTGACTGGGAAAGCTCTCTCCAAAGCCAACGTCTGAGGTGGTGGGTCGGACTCCCATAGACTGGCGCAAACACCCAAAGAGAGTGGCCAAATTGAGTAACCTACAACAACATGAACTGTGGGTTAGTATACAGAATTGAAACGTGTACCAGGTCCTTCTAGAAGACCCAGATACCTCTACTGAAACCCACAGCTTCCACACGAACCCAGTCTGAAAACCCAAGTTTCGAGCAAATCGTGTTAGCCTGGTGGCCTGACACCTTAGGCTCAAAGATGCCCATAACATTGGGCTTATAAACCTGTAGAAGGTTTTTGAGAACGCGGTGGAATGGCTTTCCACTCGCCCCTTGGCAGTTCCATAGAAACAGATCCATAAAAACAAAAAGGAAAAGGGAAAAAACAAAAAACCAGACATAAAGCCAAAGAAACAAACGGCAAACACAAAAAAAAAAAAAAAAAAAAACCAAATACTCATTAGGCGGCTAGCGCCCCCGCGTCCTCCTCGTGTGCTGGCATCCCGTCAAGCTCCATGACCACGTCACCTTCGGCATCCACGTCTTTTGGTGGGTCGGTATGGTGTTCCTTTGTGGGTTGCCAGACAGGCGATGGTACATCTCCTGCTTCCTCCCCACTGAACACTCTTGATGCCTGAATCACTAGCCCACCTTGTTGACCGCGTATCACCATGTGTTCGTCCTCCTCTGCCGCACGCCTAGATCCCATTCCCCTGCCTCGCCGTGCTCGCGTGGAAGGCTCCCCGCATTTATTCTGCGTTTTGTGCGCTACGGATGGGTCATTCGCGATTTGCTTCTCACTTGCGATCACATTTGGTCTTCTCACTCTTCCTTCCACTGCTGCCCCAGCCTGGACATTCACAGCTTGCCCTGGCAGAGTCTCAATTTGCGCAGCACGAACCTCCGCCGCATCTTCTTCATTGTCAGCCTCCTCAACCGCCAGAAGCGAGAATCTGGATACCTAAACTCTGCCAACTTCCGCTGACTTGCGCGCCTGGCCTTTCTCTTCCACCACGCGGTGTGTCCGGTCTGAACGTATCGACGCCGTTCGTGGTCTCCGGCCGGGTGCGATCATCCATTCACCGAATGGTTCGGCCCCCACCTGCACTCCCCGCCTATCTGCGCCAACCTGAGCACCTGTTCTGGCCTGCCTCTCTGACCCATGTTGGTGATCATCTGTAGAATCCGACGCTGCTCTAGACTTCTTGGGGCAGGCATCCGGTGCATGCCCATATATCCCGCATGCAAAGCAGACCAAGTGGATACCTTCATATGCAACAGACCTGACGCGCCCTTTATATTTAAACTTAGAAATCAATGGCTTCGTGATGTCCACCTCGATGCAGATCTGATCAAACATTCCCCGGGAGAAACTACTCGTGGCCTGATCAACGCGCAATGTCCTCCCCACTCTGTTTCCCAGTTTCCTTAAGAAAATAAGGCTGTAGTATTTTGCCGGCAGGCATGGTATCCGAACCCACACCACCACCTTCTCCGTAACGTCCGAAAAGGGATCGAAGTCAGGGACCCAAGGCTTGACGATCAAATAATGATCTAATATCATCCACGAGCCTTCGTACATTGCGAAAGCTATGTCATCTACCGATCCAAAGCGCTCAATGTAGTAATCGTTATCAATTGCAACCAGATCCAGACTCCCTTTAGGCCTCCACATGGCTGTGATTCGCCAAAGCAAATAAGCATATCCGACTGATCTGCCTAACACCTTGATGATGATCGCGTTTCTCCAGGGTGCCCTGATTTGTTCCACTTCTTGCTTCGTGAGTCGGATAGTTGGACACAACGGGTCATCGTCCTCTTCATCAGACTCCACTTCGACAGCATCCTCACCTGCCTCTGCTGTGTCCTGCGTGTCCTGGGAATGGTGGCCGGTAACACTTTGAGCGTACGTCCGTTGGGGTGTCTCCAGTACCTGCGAAAGAGGGGGAATCAATATGGGCGTTATGGAATTTGCCTGAGATACCTGCATGCATGCCGATGTGTTAGCCTCCACCATCTCCGCCGTAGGCGTCTCCTTGACGATGTCGATATCAACCTGATCCATCTCAGTCGTGTCTACAGAATGGGTGGCCATCGCATCGCCGGCTCGTTTGTGTTTCTTCGTACTCCGTTCAAGAAGATCGCGATCTTCCTCCGATTGTTGTCCAGAGAGCGTTTCGTCTGTCATCGTTAATCAACTGATTTGACTGATAGATTATTTGTATGGTATAACTCTTTAATATGCACACACATATATATAAATATTTCATAAAGCCCTTTACTTTTTTATTTCAATGTTTATTTTCAATGAGAAATAAAAAAAATAAAATATATCTATCATATTAATGTAATTATTATTGTATAAAAATTAAAAAAAAAAAAATCAATATGCGACAAGAATGTCTTCGCATTTATTTATTTATTGGTAAAAAAATCATTATAATAAGAGGTATGGTAAATGTGCGTGTGTATTGGCATTCACTCACACAAATTAGTTTTATTTATTACAATGTCATTTCCCTTTGTGATTATAGACTTTAATTTCAAAAAAAAAAATAAAAAATCTTTGATTAAAAAAACGTTCCCTTTAATCTACAATATCCAAAATATGCTAAAATGTATATGGTGAAATATATTGTAAACTGGGGATATTTTAAATATTTTCAATTGAAAGTGAGATGTTTTTAAAGTTGAAGACTAGAAAAAAAAAAAAACAAAAAAACAAAAAACAAAAAAAAAATAAAAATAAAAAAACAAAAAACAAAAAACAAAAAAAAAAAACAAAAAACTATAAGTAAAATATCACTCGATAGATTAAAAGTAAATTAAATATTATTAGTACCTATTAGTTATTTTCTTTTTTTTTTTTTTGAATGCTACTAGCTCTATTACATTGTAGTATCTGTTCATATACTTTCTCAACCTACTGAAACACAAAGAGCCAATAACACCTCCATACTGAGGCTCGAACTCATAACCTTCCAAATGGAAGTCCAACCCGGATACCATTAGACCACATAGTCCTGGTACCTATTAGTTATTTAAATATTTTGAATTCATAATATCAATATGTGGTGGAATTGACCCTCACATATCTTAATAACCTGAATCTAATCTAAGTAATTTAAATGTTAGATTACATAATCCGTTAAAGTTGTATATAGGAAATACAATTGATTATTTTTATTAATTGTTGATAAATAATTAAGCTAGGTAACACAAACAATCAATTGATAAAGCCATACCGGCGGCAAGTACAATTTCTTAATTATATAAATTAAAGTTTTTATTGTAAAGTTTTTTTTCTTTGTTTTAAATGTAAAAACTAGTATTTGACCCGTGCGCTGCACGGTATGTAAATTAAAAAGTATTTATTGTGTGTATGTTATATTACAAATTGTGAGAACTAATGCGGTTAAAATTTATAACATATAAATGAAATATGTTTGGGAATTCAACAAAAATAATATGAAAGTGGTATATTACAAATAGTTGCAAGGTCACGGAACTAATAAAAGAGGACTTTAGAAAATTACAGATTATTGAAAACCTCATGATATACAACATTAGTGGTTGATGAAGTAGTTGAAGTTGGGTCTTTGACTATCAATATTTTGAGACCGTCTGGATTGTTAACCCGAGATGCAGCAACGTACAATTGGCCGTGTACAAAAACCGGTTTCTTTAGTATTAAACCAACATGAGTCAACGTTTGTCCTTGACTTTTGTTAATGGTCATTGCATATGAAATCATAATTGGGAATTGCCTTCGTTGAAATTTGAACAGCAATCTTGGATCAGAGGGTGACATTGACATTCGGGTGATCAACACTTTTGTACCTTTGTTAGGTCCAGTCAGAATCTCGCCTTCAATAACATGGTCTGCTAACTTTGTGATTATCAGCCGAGTCCCATTGCACAAACCAAGAGAATGGTCAATGTTTCTCATTAACATTACCGGGGATCCTATTTTCAAAGTCAATGCATGATTTGGTAGACCTGAAACCCTAATGCTGTTTAAAAATTCCGGTGTGTGTACATCTCCAAATATACCGTTGTCGCCATCGGCTTTGCATACTGCGTCTGAACTAAAGTACGATCTGCTTTCGGCATTATGCAACTCAGTCATATATTCATTGACTGCGTTGACCACATCGAGCGTTGGTGCTAATATAGCACGACCTATTAGATGCTCGGGGTCAGTGTTTCCATTTGCAAACCTAGGAAATGTACTATGCACAATTGTTTTAATATCATCCGCTCCAGCTGACAGTAACATGTGTTTTGGAATTTCAACCTCTACGAAACCATCATTCCGCCCACCCAGCTTTCCATCACCGACATTAGCAATCCAATCGGCAAATTCTTGTAAGGCCTGCCGATTTCCACCATTGGGTACCGAACATAGTCTAAGGTTTTGAGTCAACCTTAAAACTTTGCAACTATCCCATAGGTATGATGAATTTATGGCTGAAGAAACAATATCTTGCCGTGTACCTTTTGGGACTACCGGGAGGATTTGACAGAAATCTCCACCCAAAACAACTGTTTTACCACCAAACGTCTTCATTTCACTACACGGGTCTACAAAACGCAACAAATCCCTCATAGTTCGATCTAATGCTTCAAAACAATGTTTGTGCATCATGGGAGCTTCATCCCATATTATCAAACTCGTCTTTATCAACAATTCAGCCAGCTCGCTACCTTGCTTAATGTTACAGGTTGAGTCTTCATTTATTGCAATAGGTATTGCAAATCTCGAGTGAGCAGTACGACCACCTGGTAACAATAGAGAAGCTATGCCGCTTGATGCCACATTTAAAACAATCTTACCTTTGGATCGGATTGCAGCTGACAACGCTCTCCACAAAAAAGTCTTTCCTGTTCCACCGTAACCATAAACAAAAAATAATCCACCTTTACCTTCTTCAATGTCTTGTATAACCGTATCATAGATGAGACTCTGTTCTTCAGTTAGCTTTGCACACAACACTTCAGCATCTTCTTTCAACTGCTCACGATTGTAAGCTAACTCTTCAAATATCAACCTATTCTGAAGCAACCTTGAATTATCTGTACTTGGTATTGGCATCGGAGGATATTCTTTTAAAGATTTATTTTGATGTCCCAATAGGTTTTCCAATTCGATCAAGGCAAAGTTCTTTTTCTCTTCCTCTGTTAAGACCAAATCTGTTACGATGCAAACAGTCAGATAATTATCCTTATAACTTACCCGAAAATGTTTGTAAAACAAAAAGTACATTACCTGGTTGTTTTAATATTCTTCTTTGATAGTGTTGAGCATCTTCAGACAAATGTTGCCACACCTGATTCCAAACATTTTCGGGTCTAATGATTGATGAGGATGTTAGTAAGACAACAAATAGCTTCCTTAATGAATATGCAGATGACCAGTAGCTTGCTTCATTTATAGCATCAATGTATTCTTTATCATCGTCTAACAATCCATGAGCATAACATGCATCTCTAAAGGTCAAGTACTCAAAACCATTAACTGTCCTAATATCTTGGAAGCATTTTGGACCACGGACTATGTTCAATAGACACCTTAAATAATAAATTTCTCCTGATGCTGGTGGGACATAGAATATCCGACCAATTGAGAAACCCTTCTTTCTTGGATGCCATTCACGAATGTCCTTTTTCCACACAAATTTCTTAGGCATCTCAATGTAAGTTAATAAGCTCGCTTCTTTAAACTTCTGGTTGGCTACAAACCATGCGTTAAACATACTTTGCCCAACGGTTTCTCTATTCAGGACATGATCGATAGTATCATCGTCTTGGAACGCAACAGATTGGCAGTCAGGCAAGTGAAAGCTTAGTCGCTCAACGGGTGGAGTCCTGTACTGAACTTCAAAACTAAACAACCGCCATGCGGCCTCGCATGCAGAGATGTACCGGCAATCATAGTACATGTCTATTTCATCGACCATCTCATTACCAGCTTCATCCATTGTAGTCTTATAAAACTCAGCCGTTACACGGTCGTTACCCTTGTTGACATACTTGAATAAGTACTTGATTGACCTAGATTGGTTACACCACTCTACATTGATGTGTGCTTTGTATTTCAAGAGCAAGTACCGATTATGTGGAACAACATACCTATTGTCCAACTCTATTCCATTTTTTTTAATTGTCCTCTTATCATCCCTTCTTCGATACAACGGGTATCCATCCTGGTCAAAATGGGATGCATCAATAAATCTCTTTGGAAAATGCTTCGAGCACTTGCCATTTACCATGCACGGTGAATTACTCCTGGCAACACCACATGGGCCGTGCAACATGAATTCTTTGACCGCTTTGTAATACTCAATGTCTATCAACTTGTCTGGGATCTCGGTCGAAATTATCGTGTCCATAAAAGCAGGATTGGCAAAGCAACTCGTCCCTTGTAGGAACAATAATATGTGAGCATGTGGAAGACCCCGTTTCTGAAACTCAATTGTGTATATTACTGTTGCAAAAACATTTACATGATGTTAGTTCTAGAATTCGTATGATTAAGTAGTGTATTAGAAAATGATTTTATAAGGAAATGCGGTGCGCACCTGCCCTTACAGGACCAAACAGTTTCCCATTTTTTATTTCTTTTATTAAGCAATCTAGCTTCATTTTGAAAACTCGGCAAACAATGTCCGGACGATCTTCAGCTTTCAAATTTCTTTTCTCCAAAAAGCGTTGAACCTCCGGCCATTTAGGATTACATGTAAAAGTAATAAACAGGTTTGGATAACCTATAAATCTGCAAATTGCCATGGCGTCTTGGTAGTTCTGTATCATGTATCTTGCTCCTCCCGTGAAACTTGAAGGTAATATTATCCTTTTACCTTGAGAGCTAGGTTGCACTTCACCTCTTGTTAACGCATCAGAAAGACCTTTATACGCCTCACATCTTAAAGCTTTTTGATTTGACTTAATGTATAGCAACCTCGAAGATTCAACCATAGTATACGCATCAACCAAGAATTGTTGGAATAACCTTTTAGCGTACAATATAGTTGAGATCTCATTTGATCTTTCGTGAATACGGAACGCGAAGTACTCTCTTTGTGAAGCACTCTTTCTTGCAAAATTTTGTTTATTACTATGTGTGGCAAAATGTATATCTTCCCTGAAACCATCCTCCCCATATGGAAATAAAATTGGGTATTGCAATGGTAGATACGCTGGGTTTAGTTCACTAATTCGTTTAAGCATTCCAGATCTAGACTCGACCACGATATCACGTTCACACATGCAAGGGTCTAGATCTCCAACAATGAGAGCAGCAACCTCTGAAGCAGTTGGTAGTGCATACGTTCTAGCATCTTTAGATCTCTTCCCGATTAATCTCATTCTAATTTCACTTGTAGGATTAGATTGCATAAATGACTTGGCCATTCGGAATGACTTAACCAAAACATTGTGATCATCTAGGTCTTGCTTAATGTCATGAACGACATCAAGATGCACGGCAGAACCATTACTTTCGCTCCTAAGAGATAAAAATATATAATATAAGCTTTCCAGTATTTTAAAATGACGGGAACAAAATAGTTGAGTAGCCCCGAATATTATTATACCTGAAAGAGTTGGAGCGATTTTGTATCTCATTCTCTGTATCGTGAATGTATAATTGTGCAAATTTAGGTTGAGTACCGAGTGCCGGCAGTAGACTTCCAATGCAGTGGAAATTTTGACCATTTATACGGAATATGGGAGGCGATGTTCCATTGTTAATAGTTCTATCAATCTTCCCACCCATTGACGTAAAGCAAAACATATTGTTATATGACCTTATATTCTTCAAAAAACATTTGTTTTTATCACTTGATGTAAAGAATAGATCATACAACTTTTGAGGAGGCCTTGTCATCAATGGCAACTTTATCTTACCATTCACACAACATGCGGTGTATTTAGGGCTGTCACATGATTTTGAATTGCTTGACCGTTCATTGTACCAAAAAAATGCATTACAATGCTCGCAAACGTACTTGGGATCACCACTATCAAAATAATAGTCTATAAAAAAAATTGATATTAGTTCATATGTAACAAAATAATGTAGTTCATTGTAGTAAAAAGATAGTACGTATTCGTTGGACAACATTTAAAATGAACTCACCATTTTTTGTTGGTACATTTTCATGCAAATGGTCCACAACTCCCTGGAAATCTGATATCAAATTTCGACAATGCTTGATGGGTTCAGTAGCTGACTCTACGACGACTATTTGCATGTTGTTGTCATTTGTAATACAACAATTACTTTCAAGTCCTACAGAAACGATAATATATTACATTCAATCTAATATTGACTTGGCAATAAGAAACGCCTTCTGGTAATATATTGATACCTAGTTGCGAATCTGGTGATCGATTTAGGTCGAAGCACCGATCCCGACAGTTGGATGTAGTTGGTATGGAGCGGTCCCCAATAACTGTTTCGCCGTTTGCTTTAATTAAACAGAAATTGTAAAATGACCTGTTAGACTATTTAGTATTCCATTCGGCTACACGATAAATCATAATAATATTATTACAATATGCTGTTTGAGATTATTACTATTTGTTATGTTGCTAAACGGAATTCTACTACCGCAAACTTGCGTTGACGTAGTCTGTATTGGCGTTCTCCCCGGAGAAGAACCTGTGAATTAGGGAAAAAAACCTTTAAATGAATAATCTATAACCCAGGTGATTATAGATTATTTACTCAATTTCATCTTTATTACCTTGCGAGAGTGGTGATCTATTTAGGTCAAACGAATGATTATGGTGCTTGGTTAGCGGTGATTTATCAAGGCCCCCGGTAGCTCGAGTTACATTTACTTTAATTAGTCAACAGGCGTAAAAAACACACGTTAGAATAATAATTGTCCAATTTGATTGTTATATCATTTATTTACTAAAAATTTGGTAATATTGGTCTAGCTAATTACTATTTGATATGTTGCTTAATGCCATTCTGCTACCAAAATCTTGGATTGGGGTAGTCCATATTGACGTTCGAACCGCATTGTCACCTGTCAATTGCAATGACGACTAATATTAACAACGATTCATTAACGTAGTGAACTGTTCCAAATGAAAACACTTACCATTTGTAAGAATACTTAAAGGCGTACTTAGTGAACTTTGGAAAACACCAATTAGCGGTGTACCCATTCTTGTATTCTTGTTAGATTGAAGGAACGGCATGTACACTCCACCATCGACATTGATATCTTCATTATCTGTTAGAAATATACAATGTTATCAATACAGATGTATTATTTGGTGGACCTATTTTGGTTACTCATACCGAGATGTACTTTAATTAATCAATCAGAGTAATACATCTATCTGCATTAATAATAATTAATAAAAAATAGGATACTAATTAATAATAATTAAAATTAATAAACAATTGAGTACATGAAGTTGTGATACATAAACAATTAAACTTAGTGTTTACATAATAATAATAATAATAATAATAATAATAATAATAATAATAATAATAATAATAATAATAATAATATTTATGCGGACTGCGATTACGTGATTGTTATTATGACTAAATAATAATCAAATTTATGCTTAGGACAATTAAACAATCAAATGAATACATAATATCACTACCATACTAATAATACATGTATTTGTTTTATAATAATACATTTCAGTGTTATAATAACCAAATTGATATAGCAATAATAATATTTTACTAATATAATAATAATAAACAAAATAATCCTAATAATAGTATAATAATAATAATAATAATAATAATAATAATAATAATAATAATAATAATAATAATAAAAAGGAGAAATGCGGTGATGTCTACAGCTGGCCTCCTTGGGTGATGTTCACCGTTGTCCTTCCCTTCCAGATACACCTACCAGGCTCTTTCCTAAGCTCAACACACTCATCCCATTGTGGGTTCTCTCACAAAAATGGAGTTCATTACTCCGTTTAGGGTTCGATTTGGCCATCTCGACCCCTCTATACTATGGATTCGCGATGAAGATGATCTTACTGTGAAGTATAGGTTGACGCATACGACTCAACAATACTCAATCTGAGTGTTAAGACCATAGTCAAAACCCCGATTCGGAGTTATCAACGGTGTTTCGTGCTATATATGAGCACTATACAGAGCCGGCTGTCATGGGTTTAGGTAGATCGAAGCTTGGTGGTAGCAGATGTGTCGATTGCTCAACGATGGACCAAGGCAGAAATGGGTGTTCTCGTACACCATTTCTATAATTTATAAGAAGTTGGGTAAGGATTTCTAACCCTATCTCTTCTACATTTTTAGATCTAAGTAGTTTGTATATATATCTATCTAAAACGGCAGCTTCTAGACCTAATTTTTAGAAATCTTCTTCGTGTATTGTGAAATTTGTCTAGAAATCTTCTTCATATATATCACAACACATATATACTGGAATTTATATAGTTTATAGCGTTTGAGATAGTATTTTCAAATCGAAGAACATATGCATAGGGTTTATATGCTTTTAGATAGTATTTAGGGCTATAATCTAATAGAGATTAATATAATTAAGGATAAGAGTATATAGTATTACCTGGGTTGTTGCTGTTCTGCTTCCGCTTTGCACCAGTCGTGGTTGAAGTTGTAATTTTCTTCATGTGTTCGTCTGGGAATGTATTTTCTGCAGTTCTAATTAGCAGTTTTGTTTAGGTGTTGATGCAGAGAGAAGAAGAATATGTCTATGTTGATTGTTATATAGTAGAACAGACTTCACAACCAAGATTGGTAGCACAACATTGGAAACTGGCCAATATAAATCAAGTTGGAATACTAAAAGTTTTAGTTGTGCTACTTAATGCATAGTGATATGAATATACGTGCTAGTACAATTATTACTATTTCCTCCTAATAATTTTATTGATTATTCATTAGTACAATTATTCTGAAATATAATAAGATGCTGATTAAGCTACTATGTTGTTTTTCAGGTAGCTTGCATATAAAAAGAGATGTGTTTGTGAACATGTGGTGACATGTTTTCACTAACTAATTACCAATGTTATCCAGTTTAGTACTTACAGTTGCTTATGAAGCCTCAAAGATAAGTTTTAAGCCTATACAATAGTTTAAAATCTACTTTCATATATTTGTTTTTTACAAATAATATTATTACATTGTTTCTAACAAATCCCTAGTTTATTCTCCCTTGATACAGGTAATTATCTTGTGGAATCTGTATCACCAAATAGAAAGTTCATCTTAAAGTTGTTTAGCATCAATTACAAATTTGGTGTCAACACATGGTAAATGCAAAATCTCTATATATAATACAATGATCATGTACTTTCTAATACCGTGATTATAGTTTACGCCATTTGAATGACAATGGTATCTTAATTTAATTATTGTGGACAAAAATGCAGGCAAGCTACTACATAATCTATGATGGTTCAAAGGATTTTGAACATGTCTGTGGACTCTAGGGGACCTTATAATGCACGTTGTCAAACTCAGTTGTACTTTCATTATAAAAGATAAGTTTTAATTCCATAATTAGCTATCACTATACTTAAGTAAATGTGTGTTCCCTACTCATGTACTCAATGTAATATATCTGAGCTATATTTTGATATGCATTATAGTATGCTTTCTGAACTCACCTGAAATCAAATTGTCTCTTTACTTTATTAGAGTATTTTTATTTTAAGGTTTATAAGTTCAAGTTTACTGAAAATATTAATCAGATCTGATTGGATTTTTTTTTATTTGGTTATGTTAGGCTTATTGAAATACCTCTAGGATGAAGTTATATTACATTTTTATTGAAATACCTCTAGGATTTTTTTTTTTTTTTGTTACCTTATATTAAGTACAATGTTAAATGCTGTTTACATGTATTCAGTGTGCTCAAAATTGGATACCAACATGCTTTGCTTTTGGTGATCACAAAAATAAAGAAGGGAGTGACAGCAACAAATATACATGGTGAGATATATCTTTTACTAACTAATTTAGTTTTATACTCTTTGTATAAATAGTTTAGTAATCAGTGTATAGTTATTAATAGCATGTAATCTAAATAGAAGTGATGGATAAGTGCCTTAAGGATTAGATTAAAAAAAAAAGAATTCATATTTACAATCTTTACATTGTTAGGAATAGAACATGGAAAATTATAATTAATCACTAAGCTTTATCTTACATTGATCTGCCCACTAACGTTTTACATTAACAAATTACAATTGAAGTTATATACGTATGCTAATATATACCATATACATTGTCTTTTTCCATCGCGGGATGTTAATACTCTTTTGCTTTATGTGGAATCACCGTCTTCTTTAGTACCTGCAAACAAAAAAAAAAAAAAAAAAGAAAAAAAAAAAACAATTGCAGAAAGGATAAAAAATTATCCTTACTAATAACATAAGATAATTTTTGCAAACTGCAACCAATTAAAAAAAGAGATAGTCTAAAAGTGTTGTCAAACTGTCTAAGGACCATCACAAGTATGTCCTTACAAAACCATTCAAAAAAAAATAAAATTGTTCAGTAGAGCACATCCCGGACATTCTACTCATTACACAATCATTATTTCTCAATTTTGACCACAGTTTCCTTGCTTTTTTTAGAACTTTGTGTGCTGGAAAACTCATCAATCAGGGATCTCTTGACAGTGCCATTCTCAATGGTGTTCTCTGCATTCAGCCTCTGTGCAACAACTTGTAGAGGACTTTCGGCTTCATTTGCTTGGTCATTTTCCTACAAAATAGAGATTT